CACAACAACAGCCCAATCCTGAGGGATATATATGGGGAGGTCTGGGAGGTTGTTGTGTCCGCTTGGGCCCATTTCCCACATCCTTGTAGCCAGTATAGTGGTTTTGCAGGTAGTAATCCAGTTGCTGAATGATGAGGAAGTGGCCCAAGCGGACACAACAGGGCTTCCCATATAGCCTTGGGGTATACCTAGAGATGGTAAGTTGTTGTGTCCGCTTGGGCCCACTTTCTGAGACTTGGGCCCCCCTTCTCCTCATCCCAAAACGGTATTTGGGCTATAGCACAAGGAGGAGGGCAGCTATCTCCGTAGGAATTTGATCAGTATACTCTCCTAACATGCCCGGACATATTTCGTCACCTAACCCTGGGCTGGGGAGCGACGGTTGCTTCGCTACGCTCAGCGACATTCTCGACGAAGAAGGGGGCGTGGAGGGACAACGGGACAAGAAAAGCCGGACACAACAAGCTGATTACCCATTAGTAGACCCTAACGGAGGTGTGTGAAGTTGTTGTGTCCCAAACGGAGGAGGTCAGCGGAATAAGCTGCCTATTCCGTCGGATAATATAGATAGGCCCAAGTGGGCCCAAGTGGACGCAACAACGACCCAGTCCTAGGGAATATATATTGGGAGGTTTGGTGAGCTGTTGCGTCCACTTGGGCCCATTTCCCACACCCATGGAACCAGTATAGTGGTTTTGCAGGTAGTAATGCAGCTGCTGAACAAGGAGAAAGTGGCCCAAGTGGACGCAACAAGGTTCCCCATACAGCCTGAAGGTATACCTAGAGATGGGATTTTGTCGCGTCCACTTGGGCCCACATCTTGCGACTTGGGCCCTGTTCCTCCTCGTACCGAAACAGTATTTGGGCTGTAGCATGAGGAGGAGGGCAGATATCTCCGTAGGAATTTGATCAGTATACTCTCCTAACATGCCCGGACATATTTCGTCACCTAACCCTGGGTCGGGGAGCGACGGTTGCTTCGCTACGCTCAGCGAGATTCTCGACGAAGAAGGGGGCGTGGAGGGACGGCGGGACAAGAAAAGGTGGACGCGACAAGGTGATTCTCCATCAGAACACCCTAACGGAGGTGTGTGAAGTTGTTGCGTCCACTTTGGAGGAGGTCGGCGGAATAAGCTGCCTATTCCATCGGATAATATAGATAGGGACAACGGGACAAGAAAAGCCGGACACAACAAGCTGATTACCCATCAGTAGACCCTAACGGAGGTGTGTGAAGTTGTTGTGTCCCAAACGGAGGAGGTTGACCGATTACACCCTGTAATCCGTCGGATAATATAGATAGGCCGGTCGCTTACAAAGCCACGCATCTAGGTCGAGCGACTTGCGCGACTTGGATTCACGGAGCGGAATGCTGGGCGGCGTGGGCGGTGTTATGGGATTGTGGGTTGTCTACGGTCGTTTGGGGGCGTGGAGTTGATTTTGGGGGTTCGTGGGGCAGGTGCGGAGTTGCTAGGGTGGTTGGGGGTCGTAGGTAGCCGTTGTAGTCGCCGATATAGCCCCGTTGGAGTTGACGGGAGGGGCGGAGTAGCGCGGGCAGTGAATGGGTCTGTATATGGCCGTGCGAGGGTCTTGAGGGTGCCCAAGGGCGTCGCGTTCGACGGGGAAAGAGAGAGGGCGACGCCCGGTGTACGCGACGGTCGTAGGTGGAGGGTGTCTGCCTGCACGCGCACACGCTCTTCATCGCCCTTTGCTCTATCCGCGCTGGTGAGTCCGATATCGTTCTGATAACCCTCGTCACCACGTACCTGGCTGCTCATCAATCATCTGCGCTGTTTTCAACTTGACTTTCCGCTTCGGCGTTCTCCTTCCCTCGCATTCATTTCGTTTCGGTACCGACTTGCTATTCCGTATCTGATGTGTTTGCACCGATCTAGGTCGACGATTTGGCAGTTGACTCTGTTTCGCGTGACTTAGAAGAAGATATGCGGCGGTGCCTCAGTGGTGTTTCGGGATTGCGCGGTGATCTGAGGCCTTTTCGGGGCGTAGCCTTGAAAATGGTAAGGCAGGGACTCGTGGGGTGAGCGCTGGGGGAGTAGGAAAGTCTCGGTTCGCAGAGCCGTTGTAGTCGCTGTTGGAGTGCGTGGGAGGGGTGGAGTAGCGCCGTGAGTCCTTAGCCGTTGTAGGCATGCGGAGAATGCCGTATGAGGGCCTTGGGGCGCTGGATGGTGCCACGTTCAACAGGGAAGGAGAGAGCCGCGTGGGGTAGTCAGTCACCGGCGTATCAGGCGTCGTCTGAGAGATATCGCGTGCAAATGGGCGGAGGAACGTGACTTGAGAGGTCAGGCAGCACTGGCGTCACAGCGAACAGGTGAGTCTGCGCTATTAGTTGAGGATCATGGAATCAAGCTTACCTGTACCCTTGCCTCTATCTCATGTATTCCCTACATGGCCACCAATTGGAACCCGCCCGTCCACGGAATGGCGTGTTTGTGCTTGACAATTACACGATATTGACGAGAAGGGAATCTAGAATTGGTGGGTCAGATAGAGTGAGAGTTATCAGAAGGTGAAATATTTACTTACTCACTTCATAACCATGCCAGGTTCGTGTCCCTGCGGGTTTGGTTCGTGGTATCGAGGATCGGCTGCCCCGCTTGAACGAACTCCACGTGCGCATTTGAAGTCCCCTCCGTTCCGTTGACGGAGTTCAGCTCCACCAAGATCCCAAGCGCGAAGCAAGACACGGCAATGACGACGGAGATCTCAAGTCCCGTTTACACAATCTACCACACCGAGGTCCTTCACCGGAGCTCCTGCAAATGACGTAGACCTAGTGTATCTAAAACTTAGGGTAAGCCTTTCGTAGTTGAGTCCCAACTTGGGATGGAAAAACCGATGGCAAAGAAGTCTGAGTGGGCGAGATGGTACCTTCCCTTCTCGTTGCCATCATGAGACTCGTACGTTCACGTTACTCAACGACAGTTGCAGGTCATCTAGGTGATTCGGCTACCGTGGAGGGAGGATGACGCTGGCGAGAGGCATGCTCGACGTAGAAGTTCGTGTGGGGTCCAGCGCGCATTCAGTGACTCAGCGGGTGACCACTGGACATGAACCCCGACGCCTCAACACCGGCTTGCGACTCGCGTGCCAATCTATATCTAGCGCCTTCAGCCTTGAACTACCACGGTGCGGAGTCATGGGGGTTACTCACGAAATGGTGCGCGGGCTGTCCCTCGACAGCGAAGCGGGAGCCCATCGGACGAAACTACACCCCCGCTAATCGTCGCAATCGGAGGTGGGCGAGAGGTAGTACGAAGATGATTGTTCCATGTTGACAATGGACTAAGACCAAGGGGGGCCATACCACTAGTTTCTTTTTTTCTCGTTGAATCCCGGAAATTAGCCGCTTACGCTGGATGCGGCGATGCAAACGAAGTTACGCCCTGGGATTTGGGAAAAGCCGTCAAAATCATAGGCGATCGCTCAATCACCTCGAATCCTCGTCGTACTGTTACGCCGTTGCTGGAGACCCCAGTCTCGCCTACCCGGATTCGAAGACAAAGGCAAAGGGGTTTCGACAAGGAAGTCTGATTCGTGCTGCCCCAGGATCGACTTTCTCCAGGGACCCCGTGTGGATACAATTTGACGGCATTGAAACCTGCAGGTGAGTCCAAGATCGTCCGTTCGAGACTATTAACAGCAAAGCGAAAACGCGCTACGACAGTGCAACTAGCGGCCAGGGCTGGCAATCCCTCGCGCAAGAGGCGGTGAGTCCTGTCGTGTAGTCCTAAAGACCAGTTACACTGCGACTTCGTTGCTGATATTTGAGATTATGAAAACTCGAAGATAGAAATCGAATGAACTTCGAGGAGTTGAGACACAAGTAACAACAAGTTCAATTGCAAGTCCGGCGCCTAAGGAATCGGCAATGATTTATTTACCACGTTGTCATTGTGGCGCTTGAACACTGTTCTCTAAGCTCTTGCTGTAACTGGCGTCGGCCGTTCTTTCATCCACGGGGCCTTGTGTTGGAATAAATTAGAGCGCCGTGGCGTGTAGAAGTAGTTAGTTTTCCTCCAGTGTTTGGTTCCGGCGCTGGCTAACACCGAGTAGACTCTACTCAAGTCAACGCAACCCTTCAACTCAGGCTGTCAGACGAGACGGGTGGTAAAGTAAGCCCTGAATCAATTCAAAACCACAGAGACCATCCTGACGCTCCACCAGCTCGATTTTCTTACTTGACATTCTGAGCTCGATGTCCTAACCCGCCGACCTGCTGGAGTCAAGGCGTACCAAGTCTCAATGGACCATCATTAAAGGAGATCGTAGTTCACTGGCGAGTCTTTCAACGAATCCGCCAAACAACGTGTCATACATTACTGTACGCGCTTCGCTCTCGTTTGGTTGGTGTCTATGCTTAAGAAGAAGCCTACGCGACTTGGCCGACCCTTGGCCCCGCATTTCTTTCGAGATTCGACCGACTGGATTTTGTAAATGGTTTGTCGACGATCGACACTCTAGTACTGTGGTACGTCTACACCGTAGACCGATATTTCGGAGCGTGGACTTACTAGACAAGGTATATATCATATTCCTCGACATCTGATGGCACCTGATCCTCGTTAATGCCTCGATTACAAGTACCGCTGGCGTCGGATGACGTCGATTAACTGGCGATGCGTCGATTTTCAAGAAAGATTGGGTAGGTGGTCGACAGAACAGAATTCTGAGCGAACAACTGTCAAATGCTCGCCACCACTTCCTGGATTTCGGCGATCATCCTTGGAAAACAAAGGACGAGGAAGCAAGGGCTGCATAGGAAGAGACCCCTCCGTCCAATTTGTCAGGGCCATCCTCGTTGAACGTTCCAACTTCAAGGGCCGCGGAAGGGTGAGTCTCCAGTTTGCTCCAATGCACGACTTACTTGCTCAGTCTTGTCAATTCAATTCCTTCGATTAATCTATCCGTTTGAGAGGGCACCCCACCTTTTCCTATAAAACGAGGCCCGTTCTCGATACTGGAGACCCACTCGAACACTCTCAGTCGTTCAAGTACCTACACCAGCAGTTCCACTGTCCATCAGCCGAAAAGCCAGCCATGTTCTTCAACGCCGCCGCTTTTGCCACCGTTGCTCTCGCTACCACCCCGCCGTCGTAGCACGCACCGAACCCCACCCTTCCAGCAGCAACTGCGGCACCACCACCATCGAGTGCTGCAAAGACGTGGGGACTGCTACCTCCCTCGAGAGCTCCCTCAAGTCTGCCTTCATCCAGCACGGCTTGGTGTCGAGCCTGCTCGTTGCGCTCGGCGTCGTTAAAGTCGTCGACGTGGTTTTGGGCGTCGTTGTTGACCCGAACGTCGTCCTGGGCTTGACCTGCTCCACGGTCGCTGTCGGAGGATCCTGGTACGTCATTCATCTAATCGGGCATATGAAGCCTCGTTGCTGACATGTCTGCCTCCCATTAGTAACGCGCAGCAAGTCTGCTGTGAAAATGTTGCATTCAGTAAGTTCGCCTTTCGAGCACGAAGTATCGTCGCGCAATTTACGTACGGTCGCTAACACAACGTCACTCTTTTCTAGATGGCTTGGTCAACGTTGGCTGCACTGCCATCGATATTTTGTAATTCATAACACAACAGTAGCGCTACCTTGCTACTAAATTCGTATTCGTTCATGTACCTCGAGCTTTTGAAATTGGAATATCAGCACTTCCCTCCTTCCAAGCTACCAAGGTGACCCGAGTCGTGCGCCAATGAGATGCTGATCGACAACTTATCGTCGAGCATCCTCTCATTCAGATGCCAGCTTTGTACAATACCACTCACACCAACACGGACCATTCCTTCTGTCCTTGTAGTGTAATTTGCCCGCTGGCCGACTAATACAGTCGCTGTCGCTGCGGCCCCAATGACGCCTGTTTAGACCATTATTATGATTGAAAGAGCAAACGTAATGTGGTACCTAGGCCACACGGTTAGTACAAGGGTGTGTAAGAGTCGTGCTAAGGCGGTCTGACGACGTCAAGCGCAATGTTTGAGTAACTGTGCGTGCAATCTTTCTACATTCACTTGGTGATTTGCATGAACATTGCCTGCTGAGTAGTCAAGGCATATGCCCAAGTGGCGAAGAAGCTTGTCCTGGCCGTACCACCGTGCTGACACCGTGTGGAAGCAAGGATGTGACAAGGGAAGCAAAGTAAAGTTCGGTCTCCGGTGTCTGCATAGTCACTGGCTCACCGACCGCTTCAAAGAGCGCGACATAAGACTAGTTATTCGATGTCTCCATGCCGCATGCGCGTGACTGTATCATCTATTCTATTCACGGGATGATCCTCGGTTGGTCTGTGGATTACCCCGCCGTCGCAGTGAGTCCCGACATGCACGAAACGAGTAGAGCGAGCAGCAAAGACATGGTCTATTAGGCATTACATATGCTTGACAAACATCCCACTACTCTACTTGTCGACATCACAGTCCTCGTACAAGGACTCCGTAGTCTGGAACGGGATGATAGTCGAGCTACATCGGCTGAGGACTGATCAACGTAGTAATCGCCGTCAGAACAAGGAGGTCACGTCAAGAGATGTATCACCTTCTAGACTTAGGCAGCAGGGGCATCGCCTCCATCGACAGGAGCGGGCTCCTCAGCGGGAACAGCAGGAGCAGCAGCAGCAGCAGCCTTGGGCTTCCTGGACTTCTTCTTGTCGCCACTGGGGCTGGCGAGGACGAACACAGCGGCGAAAGCGAGGACGAAGAGGGCGACGCGCATTGTGATTGGTGGCTGACGATAAAGCCTATTGAGAACGCCTCAGCTGGAGCGGTCAACAGTAATGAGGGAAGGCGACTTACTACTGATGAGTGGCTAAAAGTTTGCTGAAGAAATGAGGGCGTTCGACGGTGGTTTATATAGCATTTCGACGTGTTTTGCCGGCTTGGAGTAGTATGGCGTGGATCGGCCCTGTCGAGTATCCCGTCACGCTTCCTGCCTACTACTCCCACTACTTTCGCCGCCGTCGGAATCCAGTATTGGGAGCGAGCTGAAATCATTCTGCATGTCGCCTTAAGAAGTGCGTCGTGTGATGATGTGATGGTGCTACGGAGCACGATGCGGAGGGTCTTCAAAACATAACACCCTGTTCATTCAAGACGCTAGGTCGACCAACCAAGTCATAATTCAACGTCACAACGTCAAGTATTGGTAGCGTCGGTACGTGCGGGCTGGCAACAGAAAAGAGTAGTATACGACTCCATAGTACACTTACCTTCGTTTTGACGCGGGATCAGACATATGGCGTGGTACATCCCTATGCAGGCCCTGAGACTTGCGGAGTAAGCTAGCCAACCCAAATAAATTGTTGAGCGAGGTTAGCATAACTCGCCAGACAAAGAAAATCAAGGAAACAATACGAAACTAAAAGCGAATAACACCTCAACGTAACGATCACATAATTCGACAGAGTTGGCCGCCCCATGCTCAGACTACCCAGGCTCCGGTCAGATCCGCCGAACATACGTCGTCTGTTACGGATGTGACAAATGGCCGAATACGCGGGGAACAAACAGGGTATCTTCGAGGCCTGATGAGGGCAATTTGGGGCGGGATCGGACGTATTCCTCGTATTTCTGGTATTGAAGGTATTCATGGAATACTGGTTTGCGACGGGAGTCAGCGTGGGCCACGAGGCGGCTCAGCGTGGTGAGCACTGTCAGACCTGGTTCGTTATCATCGCTGCAAGACAACAACCGTGTCAATTGGCCAGGAACCTAGGGTGTGAGGATGCCAGAAGGGGATTGTCCGAGGAAATGAAGAAACAAACGTTCACTACGTTTCCCAAACGAGCATGTTCCGCGCCAACGTCGAGAAAACATCGTTGTATCACTATCAGCCGCATCATATGGACGCCAGAACGGACCTACGAAAGGTCTGGAATGGGAAGCAACTGGCTCCATCAAGTCATATCGATTCCCCACCAGTACCTAGAAGAACCGAGAAGCAGAATTGAGTGTGACAGGTCTTCGAACATGCGGGATGCAATGCGACAGCCTTACGCAGCCGGCGGTACATGTCACATCCTCCCGAAGATCAGGCTCTACTGATGTGGTTCAATTGGTATATTTTTCTACGGAATATGAGGACATACCACGGAAATTAGAAGCCATGGATGCGAATGCGCACGGGCGTTCCAGTCAACGTAATCTAAGAAAAGTGTATCGGTTTGTAGGAAGACATACACCGGAGCACCTGACACGTACATTGGCTCAGAAAGGAGGTTGGCAGAGAGTTCCAGGAGTTCCAGGAAGACAGATCGAAACAACGCCAACAGAAGAGTCGATTGATGGAGGACAGGGGGTTCGCATCGCGGGTGTGTTTCATTCCCCTCGGTCATTAAACTGGACCGCGACAACAACGAGCCTTGTAGCTAGTTTGACGTCGAGGTTCACGACGAGCGACGAGCGAGCCGAGCTGGCGTGATCTCCAAGCTTCTTTTCCAGTTTGCAAACCACTCGCCCCACGCTGAGAACCGTGTCGAAATCAAGTTGGCTCTACAGAGTTCGACTGATATCCAGTAATTCGAACGAATAGGAATATGGAATCAGAACGTGAAGGATACATATGTTCGATGGGCTCACCTACAGCGTTCCGACATGGCCGTTGCTTTTTGCGCGTTTATCAAGACGCCAAGAAGCGTTATTCCTACAGGACGTCAAGCCATCAAAACAGCACACACCATACAATGGAGCACATCTGAATACCGCTCCAAACACGGGCGCTTCGACTTGGAAATAGGAAGCCTTGAGCGGTCTCGAGCTTGGTTTCGTTGCTCAAAAGTTTGGCGCCTGTCTGCGCGCGAGGTTGGCGTCTACTTTCTTGTACGTTGGCAGACAGGCGCGCAGCAGAGCGGCGTTGTCTTGTGTTGGTAGGAATGGAAGTGGAACGCGATGGCAGTTGACCGGTACTACCAGTGGAAGAGGAGAAGCGGCCGAAGCTCCGGCCCGGAGCTTACTGCACCGATGTTATGTTGCCACGTGCTCCGTTCCGGCCGTAACCGTTTGTTCAGAGATTCGATTCCTTCATTGATGCAATTCCTCAACGCAGAGCAAGTCAGCCGTGCTGTTTCCACCTTCGACCATGCCAGTCATCGCTGGGCAGCCATCCCTTTAGGCCTCTGCACGTTCCGAGTTCATCGATTATCCTTGACCACATCTTCAAAGGACCCAAGTTTCTCGACATCGTGTTTCTCAAAGGAGTCACGTCTAGCGTCCGGGAGCTCAGCGACCGCAGAGTGCGCTCGAGCTTCCTAACGACCGATGCAGAGGACGACACGTCTTGTGCGGATGTACCCATGGCCTTGCTCTCCGGCAAGCGTTTCGGCTCTCCGTCGCTCGCTGAGGAGGAGGGGCGGGGAGGCTCCAAGATCGCGCTCGACAGCGTCTTCCGTATGGGGCAGGCTAGTAAGCACCAGAGGCATGCGCTCTGCGTGAGCATCGCATCCCCAGCCTGATAAAAACTGACGTCTCCTCAACGTCCACCTCGAGCCCCATGACAGGAAGTTCAGGCGCAATCTCCGGATGGGCGCATGGCGTATTGGCTGGCCTTCTGCGCGAGGGTGCAGCGGCGGCATCATTGCAGGGGACTTCAATCAAAATGCCACTCTCCCTGAGGATCATGCGCTCGTCGACAGACATGAGCCTAGACCTAAAGCTTTTGGGACTCGACCAAGACACCGTCTAGATGTCATATGTGGGCGTCCAGACGTTATATAAACTCGTTTTCACTACGTCGATTAAATATCGATCGCTCAAGATGCGCACCGCCCTCTTCCCCTCGCTTGTGTCATGCTCATCTTAGCCAGCGAAAAAGATTGGCCCGCCCGCCCGCTCTTGCGGCCGTAGACGACGCGCCTGCGGCTGATGCCCCAGCTGCTATTCCCTTCTAAGTATGAACGCCCCATGCAAAGGAGGTTCGTGGGCGGCTCTGAAGGCGGTTGCTTCAATCTTCCATCAGCCGTCTTGGAGGAAGCGTAGTCAGAAATAGGCCGATAGACACACTGGTACTCGTTAACTTGAATGATAATTTGGGCTCTGCTCACGAACGACTCTCGCCTCGCCCAGTACGTACCCTCTCGTGTGAGCTGAGAAACAAGTGCTAAGTCAGCAAGCGGACAAGCGATACTGACTGTGGAAAAGGCCTTACTTCTTGCTCTAAGCACATAGCTTAGCAGAAGTTACCACGCACCTTGGATTTCCTATGCGTGACCCGTGACGTCGGCCCTTCGAACTTACTTCCCTACTACGTCCACCTTGTCAAGTCTCGAGGTAAAGCCAAAGACAATGTCACCAGAAAACGTATACACGCTTTCCATGACTCCAAGTACGCGTCCATGTAACGCGAGCCCGGAAACAGTCAAGGAGGGGGCCCGAGGGCGACGTGTCTTCTCGATCCCGTTGCTGAAGAAATGATTGGGTGATATTATGTTTTTGGACGCGAACATGTCGTTCGTGATATCCAGCTCGTGGTGAGTGTTGTTTGATATCCGCATATTGTGCCTCGAACTTCTGAACATTCCAACTCATTTAGTCTGTTGCGCTGGCTCGTCTTACCTCCGGCGTATATCGTATGGTTCAAACGCCGAATGGAACGTTCGCTCGTTGTCGCTACGGGCCTAAGCTTGAGGCTGGCAGCGATCGTCGCCCAGCATCAGGATCGGCCATGGAGGTGCTCCTATATATCAAACTTACAAGAGTCAAGACATCTCTAATTCATGATTCGTTGCCCTGATTCGACGTTCCTATTCGATGTTCTTACGTGTCAGAACACACTCATCACTCGTATATGTGATTTCCGTTCCCGCATTCCTCATTCCGTGGATATGATGCGATAAGCTCGCCTCCCATACAGAAGGTCCGCCCGCCACATGCTACACGCTACACCACGGCTGGTCTAGAATAGATCGTCCCATTGGTGTGATGCATTCCGTTGCGCGGCCACGTCAGAAGAGAAGAGAGAAGACATAATGCATAAGCGTCTCCAGGTATCCTCACGTCTATTGTCACCACACACACATCTGCCAGGTGAATGGGGAGGTGGGACATGATGCATGATGCATGAGTAATGGGGAAGAGCGTAGAGCGGCTCAGTGAAAGCGAACCAACGGTCCAAAATTCGGGCTGAGGCCTCCGCCGGTATCTGACAGGGTGCCGAACAGTCACCCGAAATGGACGAGAGGTGTGCATGTGAGACTGTATATGTGGTAAGCATATTCCCGTCGCTGAAGTTGGTGGAATGCGCTGGACAACGTACCCGCCGACGATCTATTCTAGACAAAGAGTGTCACCAGATACGAGCCGGCGCAGAAACCACCATTTGCATTAGCACCTGCTATGTCTCCGAGGAAATGAACAGAAGAACACGCGAAAATGCGCAGCACCCTCGCCGCCGGCGCAATCTGCAGTGTGCACAAAGGAGGGCTGATCCGCCTTTTGGCTCTGGGTTGCAGGGGTCAGAAGACATACGCGTCTCCACGCCCCACGCTCATGCGAAAAGAACAAACGAGGCGAAAATCGGAGATTGGAAAACTCGTACAAAGACGATGGATGAAGCAGGTAACTTGCCGAACGCGAACGTGAGCCAGCGGTCCGAGAGTCGAGCCGGCGCGCAGGGTGTGCCAGAACGTCATACGCTTGTAACGCTGGCACGAAAGAGCATAGTGTACATTAAGGGGAGACACATATGGTAAGCATATTATCCTTTTCATGGAATGGAGCGGAAAACGCACCGAGTAACTCAGAGCCAAAATGCGGATCACCCCTCTTTTGTTCGTGGAGAATGATATGTGTGTGTGCGCGCGTGTGTGTTCTTTGCTTCATTTCCTCGGAGACAGACTTCTTCCCACTTCTGATTTCGCTGCCAGGAGTGATTCGCACCGGCCATACATCCCCCTGCTCTGTGCGTTCTCTGAATTCTCTGTGTCTGTCTCGTGATGCACGGCGCATGATGCATGATGCATGTGGGCGGCATCGTGGATAGTGACTAGTGCTAGTGCAGTCGATTCCTACGATAAATTGCGAGACTGCCATTCCGGTATACGTATGTATCAATCTCCAGGTACGTCCGTGTTCTAGTTATTGCAGACACGTCAATTTAGCGCATGCGATGCAGTGGTAATTCGCTCCGATTCGGCGCGGTGCAGATCCGCCGCTATACGCCTTCGCCGCCGCGTTGCTGGCTCGTCTCGGTTTGCAGTGCCCGCAATCTGGAATCTGGATGCGTCATTGCGTGTGTCCTCCGGCGCACCCACTACTGGGCGAGCCCGTGTTCTTGACGGTGATACTGATACTGATGCATGATGGGCAACGGGCGTGGAGATATCGACCGAAGGAGCAGCTCGGTTCGTCTGTTCACCCTCCGCGCTGCCAGTAGTCTCGAAATGGATATCGAATCCCGACATAGGTGTGAGTATGTCTCTATTTCCGTGCTAGCTGTTATATATTATCCTCTCGGTGGTACCACAAAGAACTGATCCGACTCAAGGTAGCTAGCTTTCCCATCCAGTGGGTGCCACATCTCGTATTCCTCGCGGCCCTTCGCCGCTCGCCTGGAATGAATATTGAATATTGAATATCAACGCTCGGCGCGCGAGAAGAACGCTGCGACGCAGCCGCGCGGTCAATATACCGAATGTCGTTTTGGGAGAACTCAAGAAGGGCATGTGTCGGCGACGACTTCGTCAAATTCCAAGCATCGCGACGATTAACTTCGAAACATGCTGCCACGCCAGCGCGAACGGACGATCAAGAACATGAACCTGACACGGTTAAATCAGCTCGAGTGATCAGATGTCAGTCTGCGATTGGGCGGCGGCGGCCAGGAGCGGCGGAGCGGCACAGAGTGCGGGAAATGGGGAGCATGGGCATGCGAGAGTACGCGAGTATGCGAGTATGGGATTTGCTTGCTTTGGAGTATTGCCAAGTTTCTGAGTCTCACGTTCTGCGATCGTTTCACGCGCAGCAAATATGGTCTATTAGGATTAAGATATTGACGAACGGCCATTTGCTATGCTACGGGTGCCAGACATCGACAGCACCCACGGGACACGCGGATGACTGATAGTCGAGCACGAGTTGAACGTTGACGTTGAGGACTAAGCGACGTGAAAACCACCGTCAGAACAAGGACGTCCACCCCCACAGATGATGGCGTCTATCACCTTTTAGCCTTAGCCTTAAGCAGACTCGTCGGCGGGAGGAGCGTCGGCCTCAGGGGCGGGCTCAGCAGGAGCAGCAGCAGCAGCAGTCTTCTTGTTCTTCTTCTTCTTGTCGGCGTCCGGGTTGGCGAGGACGAACACAGCGGCGAACGCGAGGACGAGGAGTGCGACACGCATTGTGGGAGGTGGGCGACGATAAAGCCTGTAGATCGCACCTCGAATTAGTGCCAGGAAGCGAGAGAGAGAGAAGAGAGGGTGCTTACTACTGATAAGTGGCTAAAAGTTTGCTGGGGAATTGAGGCATGCGGGGGTGGGTTATATATCGTTGGAGTCGCGGCGTGAACCCGTCAGCATCCTATCATTCTTTCAGCGCACACGATGGCGAAGAGCGCCAAGGCGCACCATGCCCCCTGTCTCAGCGACGTCTGAGCGCTGGCCGAGTAATACGCTGGCCCGCAACGCGTTATGTACGGCCTAGTGATTATGATTGGCTCTAAGCACGCCGTGGACCATTTGGGACGTCTGGATTGAAGTAATGGGTCGTAGTTAGTACGAACAAACTGGCGTGCTGCGCATGGCATTTGCGTGCCGGTTACGCGTCCCTGTGTTCAATCCTCAATATCAGCGCAACTGATGGACTATGGCGCGAGTGTGAGGTCAGTTCTACTAGCCGCAGAGGTTCTGACAATGCGGCGCACCAGCGACCGAATCGGAACTACTGCCAGAGTTTTGAGACGGGGCATCCGCCACCTTGACCCAAAGTTGGGGTAGACAGTGCCATTGAAATCGAATGAGCAGGAGGCGGCAGGTTATCGATTACCCGTTGATCGACGCAAGATCGACGTGGTGAGTGAGCGTGTGCCGGTGACTCAGAGTGAATATTTGAATGGCGAAAAGATAGGCGCCTGATTCGGAACGGGATACGGTGGCTGTGCACGGAAGCTCCTTGCTCTTCTCATCAATCGTCGTCTGGGAGTCCTTCACGAATCCAGAGGTGCCTCTGGCGTACTTTGGACAGCGATGAAAGCGACGGCGATGTATCTCGCTCACTAGACGTGCTTTCCTGTGATCAACCTGGGAGAAATAATCTCTCAGGCTGGCCCGGGGCCGAACGAGGACTTGGGCAGTTGGTCTCCTGGTTTTCGTACGTATACGCTGCTTGAACATATTAAGTCGAACGTTAATGTACCCCTTGAACTAGGTCCTCTACATCCCGAAGAACCTGTGACTTCAAATCTAAATGCACTTAACGGATGATACGGGTATCGGAAGCCACTTCCACTCCATTTCGCATCATGCTCGAGCGCGTTCTTTTCCTCACCTCTACGCATTTACCCGGTGGGATCCAAATACCTTTCATTCTGGGTCCTGCGACGCCAGGACTGTACCCGCTGTTCATCTTCCCGAGTACACAGTCTCAATATCTCCAGGGCGACGGAGTAGCGCAGGAGCGTTGAATTTGAATTTGCCTTGATGTGCGTTATCTCCTCTACTTACTTACCCCAAACTCGCCAACTCATGGTGGGGTTAGTTATACAGACCAACCCCTTGACTGAAGGCGCACGAGTTTCTTGCCTCTTTCTGTAGGCACTGTTGACCTACCGTCGACGGCCCTTACCGCTTGCTGCTATCCTCCACGGTATGAGGGTATGAGGGGGACGATCGGATGACATCAGATTCTTCGCGATCCTCGGTCCCTACTAGTTCGTAACTACACTGGCACCGGGTGCCGCCGGGCCGCGTGATATTTTGCCAAATGAAGTTGGCGTCACGTTGGCTTCACGTATTGGGCTGCTGCTCGAGCCAACAGCATCCTGTGGAAAGGCGTATACATGTGTGTCTTCTGCTTTTTCTTGTTAACCCCTTGGATAACGCGACGTAGATTCAGCGCCAGAGCCAAAAGCGAGGCAGGGCAGGGTTACCGCTCTGCGTTTCACCCTCTTCGGACTCGCAGTCTCGCACTCAGAATCCAGTCGGAATCCACTGCTAGCGCGTTCACTCGTTCAGAGTGTTCTCTATCTGACTTCTTTTTTTTATCTCGATGTCAGCACGACCCCATCGCGTGTCGTGCGTCGTGCGTCGCGCGTGCGGCGGATTCGGGCTGCACGAGACGCGTCAGTCACTCTACACGTACACGACTGCAGAGCTGTAACAGCTGTAACCCCAGGCGCCCGTATCCTCGTATTTATCTTTATCCCCGCCCATCGCTCGTTCAAGTTTATGCGAGGGATTCCCGTGCTGCCCGAAGTTCGAAGTTCAAACCGCCCTGGTGCCCATGGTGCCTGATCTCATGATGCCGGCGGTACCGCCACCCAGCACCACACCCCTCCCCCTCGATCTACCAATTTACGAGCGATCTATCGATCTGCGCCCCATCATATGCACCCAATTGCCTCCGCCTCCCGAATATCGAGGAGACCATATGCGTATGCACATGCATGCCTGTCTGTCTGTCCTTTGGTGGTCGGTGGTCCAGTAAGCTGGTGCGCAATGATTAAAGAACAGTGTATGTGGTGTATTGGCTATCGGCTGTTGGCTGTTGCTGACGCGTATCCCAGTATCCCAGTATTCAGTATGGCATTTTGAATCTGAATGAATAGATTCTCTGTGCATGCGCATGGGCCCGGTGTGGGTATTCCACGATCCCACGCGCCGTTCCTCATGTCTCGAATCTCATATTTCGATGCCGTGGGGTCGCCCTGGGGCTAATATTTTTGTCGATGCCCATGCCCGTCTCCGTCGCGGTTCTCGTGCTCGGACGCTGCCTTACTTCCCATGACGCCCGTTCTGCGCTGTTCTTCGCCATGCCAAGTGATGGCGAGTGATGTCGAGTGAAAGTGAGTGGTAGGCGGTAGGCGGCGATACACCCACGTACGACGTACCGGTGTGCTCTCAGGCGACTGTGGTGCGCATCACAATACAATACAGCCATTTTATTCGACGCATCTTCCGTGCGTAGTCCGTTCGATCATCGCATCCCAGGTACCACGCACCATATCCCATATCCATATCCCGCATAGTACTGCGTTACTAGTTGGGCACCGCGCGGGAAGGAGGAAGGGGGGACACGCATGCTGGCATATGCCATACATATGATACACCCCCGTTCCGCGGGCTCGTCTCGGAGCTCGGGGGAAGGCACGACGAATGGTTCACGCCTGTTGGACTTGGGTCACCGTGTGCATATCGGTATTGGTGTTGATGTTGATGTCGATGTTGTGTCGCCGACGCTTTGTCGGTTTGTCGAGGATTTGTCGAGGATTTGTCGAGGATTTCCGTGTGTCCGTGTGCCCGAGGCGGCCGACAATATACCACCGCCTGCGTCGATACAATACTTATACACCATACACCATACACCATACACCATACCGCGCAAGGATCATAGCGTGGATTATGAGTTACGGGCCACGGGTTACGGGCTACGGGCTACGGCTACGGGTTGCGGGTTACGAGTTGCGAGTTACGAGTTAATGTTATACCCCGCAGCAAATCGGGGCGCAGACATACATACATGTAGTATGGCATATGGCATATGGCGCGTCGGGTCCAGCGCGTCCAGAGTGTTCTCAGTGTTCTGAGAACGATACTCGGTTGAGGGTTGTAATTGTAATTGTGATTGTGATGGGGAGACCACTTGTCGTGCCATAGGCTATGGCCCGATGCTGGATGTGCTGGATGTGCTGGACGTGCTGGTGTTCCACTTCACCCCTCCCGCTCCCGCTCCCGTCGACAGTCGTAGCGTCGCTACTCGTAGCATCGACCGCCACGGGTATCGGGAATCGGGAATCGTCCGCCTCCTCCCAATCCTCCCAACTCGTGCCTCCTCCTAATGTTGCCTATTGCACGCCTCGCCTTCCACGGTCCTACCTTCAGTCCAACACCCAACATCCAACATCCAACATACACCCCATCCCCATCCCCATCCCCCATACACTTCCCACTCCCCACTCCCCACACTCCCCACCCCCCACACTCACCATACCGCAATCGACCATCCATGCACATGGACATGATCGACAGGATCGACGAATCACGATTGGCGGGATTGACGCTGTTGACAGTGTGCACGATGTATCGATGTATCGATGTATGTTTGTACGGTGTATGTTTGGATGTATGTTATGTTATGCTATGCTATGTATGTTATGTATGCTACGCTCTCAGTTTTCGTTCCCGGTCCGGCGCCGATTATCGATTATCGATTATCGACAATCACGCTTGTTGCTTATCATGCATGTTGTAATGTTGTAACTTGTCTGTTGCGTTTGCGTGAGTCGTTGTGCGTGACGATTTGACGGCTTGACGACGGAAAACATATCACATATCACATAACATATAACATACGAACATAACTTTTGGACGTAGCATAGCGACGTAGGAATAGGGAGAACGTCAACACCACGGGAAACGTGGCGGCGCACCCAGCACCCGCTCATCACCGGCACCACCCACCCGCCCATCGACCCATCTATTCATCCACACGCATTCACGCACCCTCGCGAAGGTGTCACCATCCTCGCCATCCGCACCTTCTTCTTACCTCTTACCTTCCTCTGAGCAATTAGCAACAATCACACAACTCAGCTACTCACACTTCCGTTATTCCGTATTCCGTTACTCCGTTATTCCGTTACTCCGTTATTCGTTGACATTTCATTATCCCAGCGCGTTCGAATCCTCGGAGGTTTTATGTATGCGCTTTGGGCGTTGGTGATTGGTGATTGGTTGGTTATTGGTGGATGGTGATTGGTGAGATGTCTGATATGCTTCCGGTTGTCGAGTCCACTTCTTCTTCACAATCGCTGTCGTCACGAATTTCAGAATTTCACGTACGCATGTCTATCTTCAGTACACCGTCACGAATTCCACATATCATGCTCACATAGTCACATATCATACTCGCTACTATACTCACAGAACATACGTATATGTCGCCATATGTATGCTGTATATGCCGTACGAAATGCCGTACACGTATCCTGTATGTGAACGCATATGAACGTATGAGTGCATGTGGGCGCACTCGGGATATGTCGGGATATGACGAGAGATGTCGAGAGATGAGGCATATGTTGGTGCGTTCACATGCATTTCCGAGAGGTTCACATCGCATTCATCGAGCCTGAGAGTCGAGCTTGAGGGTTGTACGTTGTATTCTGATACTGATACCGCCGCGACGAGTGGAACATATGATAACATTCGGTATGATACGAATGGACAACGAGGGGGATGAATCATGATACACGGACGGCGCTTGCATTCTCTGGATTTAGGCTGGGTATTCGGTGTGTTGCGTGGAGAGTGTGTTGCATGGAGAGTGTCGTGTGGCGTGTCGTCCGGGGTGTGACGACGGGCGTGGACGACAAACATAGCATGGCGAGCCAGAGTGTGATCATGATAATCGATAATCAATTTCCTCGATAATTAATTCCGAGAACAATGAAAGCCAGAAAATAATAACAGTAATTATATAATCCAGAAAATGGACCGTGGGTGCGTTACCTATTTCCGTATCCCTATATTCGTACTCCAGTCTGATTATGTTTGTTGTATTCCTGTTGTCTCAGCGGCTGGATCGCATTAGGAAACCGGGCAGCTGGAAGGAGATGGGATCGGATGGGGATGGGGACGTCGCTGGCGAACATTAGAGTTTTGGCTGGCAGTGCGAATCACCCCTTGCTTGCCTGGTTCGGGTTCGCTTGTGCTGCACCTCCCTCGCTCGTCACCTGGTTCTGTTCTCCCTCGGCAACCAACCCAACCAAGCCGCCCGTTCGCTCTGGATGCACGATTCGAGATGGTGATGAAGATAAATGGAAAAGGACTGGGTGAAGAGAAAGCGAAGATCGAGTGCGGATACTCATAAGGTGACAAGGTGACTCCATACCGCTCTCTCCCTCTCCTCCCTCCGTTACAACACACACACACACACATCCAGGGAGAAGAGACGAGTGTCCCTGCGTCGCTTAGCCCGCCGCAGACGCCTACATAATACCGACGACGCCATACTCTCTTCGCTCAACACCACTACCACCAACGACCGAGGCAGCTATGCCCAACTCGGCCACCTCGACGCCACCACCTCGATCACCCCCACGATCGCCGCCAAACGCTAGCACGTCTCCGAATACGATGTCCACCTCTCCGTGCGTACTCTCCTTCCTTCCTCTCTCCCGAAGTATTCCTCTCCCTCCACTAACACACGCTCCTCGCCACTTCCACTCCTTATTCCGCACCTCCGTTATGGCGACTCTAACGAACCTTGCTCTTACAGGAAACTAAATGCGAACAGCGGCGGCGCGCTGAAACGCAAGGCCGGGGCGGTGGACAGCGACGCCGACCCCGAGAGCGAGGACGAGCTCCTCGACCACGACGCACATCCTTCCGCCACACCGCGCCCGCACTCCTCCCACTCCTCCGCGCGCTCCAACAAACCTCCCTCCTCAAAACCTCCGTCCTCAAAACCTCCGTCCTCGTCCTCCAACACCAAGAACGCGGTCGGCAAGCCCGCTGCCGCGAAGAAGGAGTCGAAGGAGGCCTCCGAGAAGGGTGCGGCAGCGCGGAACGAGTACCAGGACGGGCACATCGTGTGCGAGGGCTGCAAGCGCCAGGTGCCCTTCCGCGACGACGCGCCCCACGCAGAGGGCGCCTTCACGGTCAGGCTCTGGGAGAATCATTTCAAGACTTGGTGCGTGTTTCCTCCGCTCCTCTCCTTTGCATTTTCGATTTCGATTCGTTTTGGTTTTGCTATTCTACTTCGTTTCGATGGTGCTTTCCTTTCTTCTACGTTCCTCTCCCTCCCAACTTTCCCAACTTTCTCCCTCCCAATTCCATGCCCCCATTTCGCGTGTCCCGTGTGTCTCGTGGCGCGGAAACATGGCGTCTTGACATGTTACATCTTACATGTTATTATGTCATTACATGTTATTCTCCGAACGCGCGCTACCAATACCAATGCCCCATTCTCGCCCCATTCTCAGACCTCTTGGCGCCGTGCCACTCCTTCACTCCTTGTTGATGATTCTCGGACTTTTTGACATTCATTATCTCGGTGGCATGGCGTTTCGCATGGCAGAATACAGGATACAGGATACAGGAGATAGGATACAGGATACCACGTGTCATCCCTAATTCGGGAGAGGTCCTCGAGATATGGGTATGCTGTGCTGTGCACCGGAGACATGTTATTCGCGGCGCGTGTTCTGTTGGCGTATGGGCGTATATGTTCCGTCTTCGGAATCGATGGTTTTATGATTTTATATCGTGTATTTCACTCTATTTCTCCCTTTATCCTCATTTTCCTTTCTTTTCCTTTATTCGCATTTATCAGAACGTAGTGCTCACGTCTCGCCACAGCACCGCCATGTCCGCCTCCTCCGCCTCCGCCTCACACCCACAATCACACTCGCAATCACACCCGCCCTCGCACGCACAAACAACCCCGCACGCACAGTCGCGGCCGCGGTCTCCAATATCAAGCGGCGAGAGGAGCGAACGAGAGAGAGATCGGCACGAGCGGGATATAGATATGGACACGGACGCGGACCCGGACATGCACGATGAAGAGATGCACGACAGAGAGATGCGGGAGCCCCGCGGACCTCGCGAGCTGCACACTCGGGGGCAAACTCGGGGCCAGAGAGACCAGAGAGACCAGAGAGACCAAAGGGAGGAGAGAGATCAGAGAGACCAAAGGGAGGAGAGGGAGCCCGCCCGCGCACGCGTGTCGCGTCCGCGCAGGGGCAGTGAACGGAGCGGGAATGGACTTGGGGGAGTAGGTGCAATTGGGGGATCAGGTGGACCTGGGGGAGTAGGGGGCGCAGGTGGACTTGGGGGATCAGGTGGGCTCGGGGGATCAGCACACCCGTCGCTCGCCGCACTCGCGCACCAGGCGCACCACCCGCCGCATCCGTCGCTCCCTCTGCCCGCGATGGCGCCGCACGCCGCCCCTCATACACACGCACATACACATGCTGCTGCCCACGCGAGTATGTCTACACATGCGAGTCCGGGCTCCCATTCACAAACGACAAATCCCGCGCACCCCTCCCACTTCTCTCACCCCACCCCCCAACCCACGCACCCTAATATAAACACCAACACCAACGCCCCCGCGCACCCCGCCCCCAAGCGCCGCCGCGCCAAGCGCACCGAGGACGAGCGCATCGCGTACCTGCGCGCAGACCCGTACATCGCGGCCTTCGAGCCGTACCGCGTGCTGTGCGCGTCGTGCGACAAGTGGATCCGCCTGCGCCCGAACAGCACGTACTGCAGCATCCCGTGGGACGCGCACCGCAAGAGCTGTCTGAGTAAGAAGGGGTGAGTGCGTTTTTTTGGTTTTTTTATTGGGTTTTGAGAGGGGTTTTGAGTGAGTGAGTGAGGGGGGTTGAGTGATGGGGGGATTTTGTGTGCTTATACCCTGGTGTGACTCCTTTACTGACGACATTTGTATTTGTTCCTTTCTTGCGCTTCGGCATTGCACATTGCAGATCGACGAAACACCTGCAACACCTGACGGTCAACGCGCCCTCGCAGACGCAGACGGGCTACCCCCCGCGCTCCGCGAGCCACGTGCACCTCACCGCCTCCACCTCGCACCCCAACTCGCACCCCAACTCGCATGCGCACGCCCAGTCATCGTCGCGCAACTCCCCGTCGTCGACGTCCGGTATCAAGGCCCGATCGCCTGCTGGCGCCTCTAGCGGTCGCGCAGACGCGCAGTCCGCACGCGCGTCCCGGGGGCGCGAGCGCGGACCCAACACGCTCAACACACTCAACACCATCGACACCACCATCGACACTCCCATCGACACTTCCCCCACATCCACCCCCACTCACACACCAAGCTCAATCGCCCGCGCCGTCGCCCGCGCGCTCGCGGCCCTCCCGTGCGCGCTGCCGACGACGGCGGAGGCGCGGAACGCGCTGTTCGCGCGCGACGCGGGGGCGCGGAAGTGGGACGCGGAGCGCGTGCTGTGCGCGGGGTGTGACCGGTGGGTGGATATTGTGGACCCGGGGACGCTGTTGCGGGAGCGGGGTGGACACGGCTTGGGCTCTGGTGTGCAGCAGCAAAACGGACGGTCTCGGGCTGTGGGGAAAGTGGTGAAGTCGACGGGTGTGAAGAAGGAGAGTAAGGATGTTAATGATGAGGACGAGGACATGGAGGGGGGAGATGCAGAAGCAGAGGGTGAAGAAGACGCAGAAGGGGACGCCGAGGGCGATGAAGAAAGAGAGGGAGGAGCAGGAGGAGCAGGAGAAGGGGAGGAGAGAGAAGACGGGCAGGCGGAGGACCCGTACGAGCGCTGGATTCGGCATCGCGAGGCGTGTCGGGCTGAGAGGTGTGTTCCGTCTCTCTCTGTTTGACTTTTGGTTTTTGGTTTCGCGTTCTGTCAGCTTCGTTTTTCTTTGATTTGTTTTTCTTTTGTTTCGCGTTCTGCGTTCTGCGTTCTGCGTTCTGCGTTCTGCGTTCTGCGTTCTGCGTTCTGCGTGCTATCCTTTGGCGGACGTTCTCGGCATATTCGGAGGAGGTCTCGGCTCCGTGTGGACACGTCCATGGACCATCATGCATTATACACCATTACATTACATTGCCGCGTTTCGTGCAGGCCGTCTGTCTTCATATGTTCGCGTTCTCCGGCGCGTTTTCTTCGCCTGCCCTAGTCCTAGTGCTCGCGTTGCCCGTCGCCTTCGTGTCTTCGTGTCTTCTGCCTTTCTGCCCTTCTGCCCTTCTGCCCTTCTGGGCTCCTTCTGGGAACCTTCTGCGTGACGTGTTGGCGCGTTGGCGCGTTGGCGACATGTTCTGACTGCCATTCTGGCGCGTTGGCTGGCGTGTTGCTGGCACGTCAATCTTTCAACCCGGGACGCGGCGAGTCGGTTCGGACGTGGTCGTTGACGGATTGTGCATGTTGCGTATGGTGCATGCGTTCTGTCTGTCACTCAAGTTCGAGTTACGCGTTTCCATTACTCATTCTTTATTCCTTTTCTTATTCCATTTCCATTTCTTTTTCCATTCCATTTTTTTATCTTTTCGTTTCATTATTCATTATTCCTTATTCCCGGTTTCCGACATACGCTAACCTCCTGCTCTAGCGACCTCTACGCGCGGCACCTCCCCCCCTCCCACCCCTCTCACCCCTCCCACCCCTCTCTCTCCACGCACCCAGCAAACCACACCAACGGCCAACGCCCCACCTCCTCGCACTCGCACTCCTCGCGCCCCTCCACCCAGCAATCCGGCTTCTCGACGTTCTCCGCCGCCTCGGCGTCGAGCGCGGCGACGACGCGTCCGGGCACTGCCACGGCTACCGCAGGAGCGAATGGGAGAGCGAGGGCGCGGGGCTTGTCGGTAAGCTGCAACGAGACGAAGTACGCCACGCACGGTAGCAGTGCGGCGTATAGCGACGACGGAAGGAGAGGGGAGAGAGGACACTCCGGCTCGCGCTCGCGCTCGCCGACGAGCCCGAATGACCGAGGCGGTCGTGATAACGGGAGAGAGGAGAACGAGAACGGGAATGGGGACGGAGAGGGCGAGTCGCCGACGTCTGCGACCGCTAGCTGGGGCTACGCTGCGCACCAGCCGAACGCGCATGGGTATGCGTATAACCCGCACGCCGCTCACCCTTCGCATTCCTCCCACCTCATCGCACAACACCCCAACTCCAGCCATCCCAACCACACCCCTCATCCTGCTGCCCCGTCGCATGAGTCGCGGCGGCGCAACGCCGAGCAGCGCGCCTCGACGCTGCGCTCCGACGCGCTCATCGGGAAGGTCGAGCCCAATCGCGTGTTCTGCAAACTGTGCGAGAAGTGGGTGCAGCTGCGGCAGGACAGCTCGTACTGCGCGTACCCGTGGCTGCAGCACCGCGGCAAGTGTCTCGCGAGGCAGTGAGTGCTGTTTCTTGTTCTTATTTCTTATTTTTCTTTTTTGGTCTTTCTGCTTGTTGGGAGGTGTACTGACGTCGTGTTTGTTTGGACATAGTCAACGGCGGATCGAGAAGGAGGCCGCTATCGCCGGTTTGCGTGCAAGGCGCCATTCTGGGGGCCCGGGGCGCGGGATGGGCAGCGGCATGGGTATGGGTATGGGTATGGGCAACGGCATGGGAAGCGGCATGGGCGTGGGGCAGGAGTTCGACGAGCTCGCCTCGGACGCCGATGCAGACGCCGACGCCGATGGGGAGGTCGATGCGGACGGGGACGTGGACCCCTCTGTTATGATGGATGTGTCTGCTGCTAACGGACGACAGGAGGGACATAGGGAGAGGGATGGGGAGGGCGAGGATGGGGAGGGTGAGGACGATGATCTGGATCTGGAGAGCGAGGAGGGTGTCGAGGGGAGCGTTGATGGGCGGGGAGACGAGCAGGCGAGAAGGAGGAAGAGGAGGCGGATGAGCAACGGGATGGGTGTCGGCGTTGGCGCTAATGGAGTGCCCAGAGGCGCGAACGGGAAGCATGTGTCGAGGCATCCACTTACGAGGGGGGCGATGTACGGCAACGGCAACGGCAATGGGACCATGAACGGTGGCGGGCCGATGATGATCGACGAGCTGGACGCCGAAGGCGAAGACGACGTCGACGCGGAGGGCGAGCCGTACTCGGAGGACCAGATCGTCCGGACGTACTCGCCGCAGCACCATCAGCTCCTTCACGCGCAACAGCAGCATGGGAACGCGCACATGCAGTATCAGCAGCAGCAGCGACGTCCACAGTACAGTCGCCGGCAAGGAGGGCAGGGAGGGCAAGGGCAAGGTGCGAGGATGAGTGCGGGGAGAGGCGGAGGAGGAGGAGGGTATTCGAGACGCGGGGGTCAGCCTGTTGGGTTGGCTGATCTGGATAGTTTGCCTGGTCGGTGAGTAACTCTCTCCATCGTTTACTCTATATTTTATTCCGTTGATTATGCCACTAAATCTAACTGACACCTTTTCCTTCCCCTACTCTACAATGCAGTCGCAACTTCATCTTCCTCGCCATTGACCACCTCTTCTGCACGACGTACGAGAACTCGGACGACATGACCATCTCCTCCCTCCTGACCTACCTGAACGCGGCGATGCCACCCGACAAGCACGAGGACTTCGACACGTCGGAGGTCGTGAAGGCCGTCGCGGCGTTCAAGGAGAAGGGCAAGGTCATCTTCGAGGGGGATACGTTGAGGTTGGTCGATTGAAGCACGACTTGATGGAAGGCGAGTGCATGGGGATAGGGATATGTTTTTCGCCGAAGGCCGTCGCCGCTTATGCATACCTCCCGATCACCTTGGACATACCCACGTACTGCTTGCATCTGCGCGCCCATCAACACTAGTGGTCGCCGCTGTCTTTTCTATGTTTCTTCTCGCACCCAAATCCGACTTCCGACTCGCGAACCAAACCATGGCGCTAATATCTTCCCAATCTCCCCCGTGCATCTGTTCTTTTGCATCATACTCCAGCTTTTTGCTGTCCAGCTGTTCGACCGTTTCGTGCTGTTTCCTGTGGGAGGCCGTCGTGGCGCCTCTTGTGGCGTCTTTGGTGGCGTCTGTTTTTCCGAATTTCCGAATTTCGGAAAGTCCGCGACACGACACGACACGACACGAAACACGGTGCGAAATGTTCATCATAAATATATTTGCAACATATCTTGGTTCTCAAGTATGTGTTCTGGAACGTGCGCTGGCAGGTCCAAGGCTCCGATGTTTCCTCATCCTCGCCTTCAGCGCGGCTTGGAAGCTTGACTCGCTCGTTTTTACTCTATCCCACTCCGCCCTACCCCGTCTTCGAACCACTGCATCCCTTTCTTGGACTTTGGACTTGCTGTTTATGTTTCTTGGTATCTTGCCATCGCTATCTCATTCCAAATCCGATTAACTATGTATATTATTTTACCGTTGCTTTATCCATCCACTACTTATCACTTATCATCAACATCTTTCATCATCATTTACTGTCACAACCCCCGCATCGAACCTCGAACACACACGTTTCATGCTCCTACATACATCGCATTCCGCAGCTGACATTGCTATTCGACCCTCGCGCTCTTGTTTTGGTTGTTTTGGTTCTTGACCCGTTAGTGGCGCCTTATATTTCTTTCTTTGTCTTGCTTGCTACCATCCCCGTCCCTCCGTTAATCACGCCCAACATATCCCTTTACTGCTTTTATTCTTCCATTTCCTCATGTTCATGTTCCGCCCACGCTTCTGGCGTACCGGGGACTCGGCCATTCTGCAGGGCGTCACACCCTTCATCTATCATACACCATCTCCGCCGCCGTGTGTTTTACATGTTTTGATACGTGTTCTTGATGTTTTGCTTTGTTTCTATATCTACCTTTCTCCTTTCTTGTTTTTGACGTATTTCTATTATTTGCTTTGTTTTATCCCTACCCCGTCGATTTCGCCCTGCGCAGACGCCACTGCTCGCCGCTCTCCCCGCGAGCTAGCCTGCCCAATCCAATATCGTACGGCTTCTCGCCTAACGACGTATGGACTTCTTGGGTTCTTGACTATCACTCCTCGGCGCTTCTACTCGCGTCCGGTACGGCGGAAATCGACACGCAGACAGCAGCCCCTCGATCAAATTCTTCCCTGCTCTTACCTAGACCCACTATCATCGAATCCGAAGCGACAATCAACGTCACCTCGACGAACATCCAAAACATCTTTCAATGCCGTATTTATCAAAACTGCCTCGCTACGACACTTGCTCAAATCGAACGCTCATAGACACGTCTCCAATCCATCACTCGCAATCAATCATAATCATCCTTATACAACAAACACACATACCCACACATCTTGCACGCACACAGAACCCATGTATAGCGATAGCCTTTCTTGTCTTTCTTGTTTTCTTGACAATGTACGATTCGTACTATGTACCAGCTACTCCAGAATGCAAAAATCTCGTTCTCAGTCATAATTTGCAATCTATGTCGCGTCTAAGTTTGGGCGCGTAGTTCCAGAACGCAACGGTTAACGCTCATGCGTGCACGACGCACACGCACATCGGTGGTTCGACAAAACGACTACGACTGAGGGACGTATACTGTGGTGTACTTCCAAGGCTAGACACTGCACAGCACTCTCAATCTGAATGTAAAACACACACGCGACGCAGTGGCACTGCTCGTCTCCGCCCTACTGTGTTTTCTCAGTCTTATTTGTTGCTTACGCCAAAATCAGAAAGCAACATTCATGTTTGTGTTCGTGTCCGTGTTCGACATATGCCCAACATATGCCCGACAACGACATATATAATAATATCTTGCCGTCTGGTCTGTGTTTCGGGTGCTGTGGGCTTGATGCATTGATGCTCGGAGGGAGCCATGGCCATGGTCGTGGTCGTGGTCAGGTATTCTTTTGGGTGTTCGGTCTGTTTGATCAATGATGAGGCTGTTCGCTGTATGTCATATTTAATTAACGTACCCCTTGAAGACTCCCATGTTTGTCACAGCGTTGTACCTACATGGCCCACGCATCTACATGTTGAGGCCATCAGCATCCTGGGATTTCATTCCTTATGTACCCACGTAACTCACATTTCCGTATGTTGTAATTCTGTGGTGCCCATACGATGTGGCGAAACGCCATCGACCCTCCGACCGTCCTACGTAATTGTGAATTGCCCATTTCCGTATGTTGTAATGTCCGTAATAGAACCAGAGCCTAGCCGGTGACCGGTGACTGGCGGCCCTTGAGTAAAGGTTGAATAAGCGAGCGGGACATACACATTTCCAGTTAAGTACTTACGCGTACTTACGACCCACCACAGAGCCGGACGAGCGACTCAGACGCGGACCACAAGAACAGAAATAGGAATCTGGATACGGGAGTGGTTCCATTTAATCTTATTTTTGGACAGTGTTATGTGAGAATCGTATCGAATGGCAAGACCCTCGAATGTTATTTCCTGAATTTGTAATTTGTCTGATACACCTACCACATATACTCTGTGTACGTACGCACCCACGTATATACGCACTCCTGCCCTGCAAAAGGTGAGTATGTTTATTCTGTTACCTACGCCACCTCTCGATGAACTGCATGTGTGCCTATGTATATTGCATATTTCGTATGGCATATGTCGAGTTTAATTTTATTCCTAGGAGATCCGTCCTAAGACCCTGGAGGTTTGTGTCGTGTGTGCACGGTGCCCACCACGCCGACCAGAATATAGCATTCAATGCTGTAAAAACGCAAACACAAACATAGACACCACGCGCTTGAAGTTTGAAGCTTGAAGACGGAGCGCCGTGCTACGCCGCAGTTGTTCCAATCTCCTTGCTGTTATGCTCATGTGGATTTGGGTTGGAGGTTTGCTGATAAGTATTCTTCGTATGTGAGTTGGTTCGACCGTGCTAACACAGAAACATCAACATACACGCTATACGAGTCTGTGCACCGTGCTCCATGTGCGACTCCCAAGGGTTGATAATTTGAATGGTTTGTCTTCGGGTCCATTAATCGTCTTCCATATTGCAAAATGATGAACCGAATCGTGGCACCCTATGTTTCGCATTCAAATTTCAAGGGGCGTGTGACATTCGTATGTTTCGCAGAGAGAAGCGTAAGTAAGTGCAGGCGATCGGTGGTTTGTTATGTTAGCCGGAGAGTCCGTGCCGAATATGAGCTTGAGGCTTCTGGGGAAGATTTAGATTGTTTGCCCGTTAGAAAGACACCGTGACCCAGAGTTGTGGAGTCGAATGGCACTGGAAGGTTCTTGAATGAAGTGATTGCAACGCTCATGCTGTTTCTTGATAATGCATAGCGCCGCAGAACGTACTCTAGCGCTCGGCGAGGAAGGGGATGGTTATGCTGGAACAGTACACTTCGTATTAGCATTGGCGCGTGTGCTATGATGGATTTACCGTGAAGAGCTTGGTATCAAGCACGCCACCTAAAAGAGGCGAAGAACATCCGTGAATACATGTAAATCGGAAAGTGGGAAACAAACAACATCAACTAGAAGACACGTATATCCCCGCCCGCACATCACGGTTTGGGGGAGGCTCGGAGACCGTGTAACGGGGTAGGCATGTCGTTAAACCTTTGTTCCAGGTTCCTTCCGAGGAGTATGTATGTTTATGAGTTATGTTGTGTTTCTGTTCCCATCGGCACCGATTGAATGGTGGGTGTAAGGTGGGCGGTTTGAGGGTGTATCTTTGAGTCACAGGAATTCTAAAACTTCGGTTTTTTGAGCGGTGATGAGATCCCTTCGACCTAATGTAGAGATGCTGTGAATGCTTTGTTTCCGCGTGATGATGAACGCAATAGAACGAACCGGGGCCTGGTCTCGGCTCGCTTCTTGGCTCGCATCCTTCTTTCGACATATAAACACAATGAGCCTACGTCGTGGAGCGGCGATGACAAATAAGCGTGGATAACGCTGTGGCGAAATATAAATGGATTCAGTGTGACTGATAGATGGGTCGATGATGGGCTATCGTAGCATGACATACGGTAACAGCTTATGTTCGATAATTCTCTCACCGTTGATATCTGGTGAGGAACCGGCGCTGAGGAAACGACGACGAATGCTGAAACATGGAACAATATCAATGATAATTAATAATCATCTCAAATTAAGTTACGTACCCTCTTGATGAGGCTCGAGGCTTGATGTAGCGATTTCAACGGTTAGGCAGAGTACAAGAGATATGGGACGCATATGACTTTGATATGTTTATTGCTTTGTCGGTGCAATTTGTTGTACGGAGGTGGTGTGTTGTCGAACTATGAGGCCATCGTGTTGCGTGCATTTGACGATCGAAAGGTTGAACACAACAGTGAAACTTATGCCACTATCGGTGATTGCAAGGCGCCCAGTGCGAGGCCTGGAAAGAGAGAAGTAAGTGCTTAAACCTACGGCGATCTCAATATCAATACAGCCCACTCGTGAGGTCCCGGGTACAATGCATCGTGCTTCCTTCATATCCTGTGTCGTCGGCATGTGTTCACCTGTTCGTCGACTCCGATTAATAGATGTTCGCCTTCCGTATGAGGTAGCATTCAAAGGCGAACGAACATACAAACCGGCGTTACTAGCCATGTACAGCTCGTGTAACCTAGGAAAGGATAAGAATGGGCTGTGTTCGGTTCAGGCGCGAACATACCATGATGTCGCTTGATGAAATAATCGTGTCGGCTGAGCACAAGTGAGTTCGGTTCGTCTGATAAATGAAAATGAA